ATGTTGGCTCTCTTTCTGTCTGTGCAGTTTCTGATGGACCTATTTTCTAGCATTTTCTGTTTTTAGTTCAGATTTCCAGCATCTGCAGTAATTTGTTTTCCCCTCAAAAATTAATGTTGTTTCAAGTAACGTTTGAGAGGGGAGAGACCTTTTGATTGACAAAGGAGTTGAGGGTATGGAGAGTGGATCAGCAGGTAAGGGAAATTTAACATCTCCATCAAATCAGCCTTGGTGTGATTGGTGGTGTAGTCTCAAGCCAAATGGCTTAATCTTACTCCTATTTCTTATGATCTTCTGAGACAATTTAAATCTTTGAGCATAACCTTGAACAAAATTGATGTTTGGGTCTTTTGGTCTGAGAATACAGATTGGGCTTTTGAAACAGGATCAAGGCAGGAGAAAAGAAATCAGGTGTAGTAATAATCCTTTGAATCTGAAGTGCTTGCTTCAAAGTCAAATTGAACAAGCTGTGAGGACTCAGTACCTTGCAACCAGCATAATGGGACTTCAAGACAAAGCTCTTCAAACCCTCCATTCCATTGTTCTGAGGAAGTTTACACTTAGTGTGCTGAAGGTGCCTTGATAGGTCTAATGCCAAAATCTGAAATGAATGTACTTGTTGGAACAAATGTCAGACCTGCCGCATGGTTTTTTGTAATATTTGTATAGCAGAGTTACATAAAAACACAATCTGCAAAAGAAAACCGGCCCAATCTGCCATAGTGTAATTTCTTAACCCTGTTGCTAAGTGACAACAGATGTTACCATGCAAAGTACAGTAAATTATTTTGTCTGAAACGTGTTCATTTTTTCCAGTTAGTCATAGCTCGGTGCAAATTTATGCACACTTCTGAAAGGCATCAACGGGTCTTTGTACCATCATGTGTTGGACCAATTTAGGGATTCTTAGCTTTCTCTCAAAAGGGTGGGATTAGTAATGGAGATTTGTAATGATCTTCGGAACAGCAACAACAATTTGCATTTATATAGCACTTTAAAAGTAGTAAAATGCGTCAGGTTGTTTCATAGGTGAATTATCATACAAAATTTGACAGAACCATCAAAGAAGACATTGACTAAGCTCAATCAGAGAGGTAATATTGTATGGGGTGTTCTAAAAGATATGCAAGAGATGGAGAGGCTGAAGGAAGAGATGTCAGAGTTTAGGACCTTGGTACCTTGGGGCACAGCTTCCGTGGTGTATCGACCGACATATGGGATCTGCAGGATGATGGTTGTTTGCCCCTCCACCACCACCACACCTTTTAGAACACACTGTAAAATGACCTCTTTGAGCGTAGTCAATCTGTCTCAATGTCTTTGATGGTTCTATGTCAAATTTGTTTGATAATTCACCTATGAAACAATTGGAGAAGTTATCATTATGGAAGGACACCATGGAGGGATTTAGAAACTAAGGTGCACATTTTTCTGGACCAGGAGACAAAGTAAGTCTTTGTGCACAGGTAATCAGTGAATGGTACTTAGCCCAAATTAGGATGTGTAGCAAATTCTTGGGTGTGCTTAGATTTATGTAGGACGGGAGGCTGCCAGGAGAAGATTAAAATAGTTAAGCCTCGTGGTAACAAAAGCATTAATTCTTTGCCATGCTGGAACCACTTAAAAACTGCAGAATAATGAAAAATATTACTTGCTTACTCTTTTGCCTAAATGCAAAAACAAGGAGCGGGAATATATTTTGCTATAATTTTCATTTCCTTGAATTCTTCATTTCTGACTGATCATGGAGGAACATGGATTTTGCTGAGAAGCAGATGGTGCAATTTTTTTTCATCCTCCCAGTTGGAGGAGGCTGATTGACAGTGAACCAGATGGGAAACAAATTATATCAGGGGCTTGATAATGTGAATTCCCAGTCTCAACCCAGGTGATCTGAATAAAGCAGAATACAAATAAAGCAAATAAAGCAAAGTACAGAATACAATAAAGCAGAATACAATGTGCTACACACATAGTGCAATGTTCTGGTCTGATCAAGGGTCTAGGCCCGAAACGTCAGCCTCTCTGCTCCTATGATGCTGCTTGGCCTGCTGTGTTCATCCAGCCCTGCACCTTGTTGTCTCGGATTCACCAGCATCTGCAGTTCCTACTATCCCAGATCTTACAGACTTGCAGTTTCTCTACAGGAGTGGTACATTGACGACATCTGACAGCACTTGTATGTTAGTAGTGGTCTTGCAGCAAACCAAGGATTACAAACCAGAACATTGCACTATATGTGTAGCACATTTGTATTCTGCTTTATTTAAAGTAGCTCCTCCCTTTAAGGCAATAAAATTTAATTGCTTAAAACCTGGGGCCTAATGAATGTCCAGCATTAGTGAGGGAACTCTGCGGATTGGAGTCAGGAAGAATCAGCATTTGGTTTGCTTGAAGTTTGTCACCTGAAGTGTGACGTATGCAAGAAACAAATGTATTTTACATAATCCATGTGGAGATGAACAACAGGGATAATTGCACCAACTGTAGACATACAGTCATCAACTTGTCTGTCAACAATGAGGTTGAATAAAAATGATAGTATGGATCAAAACAGTGGGTCCAAGGTTTTGAGTATGATAGACATCACCTTTGCTAATTGGAAGGTATAATCCGAATTATTCTAGCTGGCTGAGCATAGAAATCTTTGGATGCAGGTTTCAGTAGCCCTGCACTACCTGACATGTATTTCTTAATTCATGCCCAGATACCCATTGTTCTCAAAAATGGCGAGTGAATTTGCACAAACTGAACTTTGTAAGCCAAATTAAATCTGTCACTACTTGCATGGATTTTCATACTACTTTGCAGCAGGTTGACAGAAAAGTATTCAAAATTATCACTGGGAATTTATGTCTCGGTGTAGTGTATCTAACTACTTGATATACTGGCAGAATATCCTTTAAAAATAAAATTTCCTGCAGTCCTGATTTTTATTGATATATTTAGAGCAACTTAATTTAGTGGTAGCAATATTTATAAAGGTTGAAGGTGGGCAAAATGTTCATCTGCATTTGTTTAGTACTCGCTGTGGAGGAAAGATACAGCAGGAGACCGATTTCTTCAATGATTTTTGCTTTAGAAGTAATGACTCAATAAGCATGCAAGTTAAAAGGAAGGGAAAAGCTTGCATTTATGTAGCTCCTTGTACAATAACAGGAGGTTTCATATTACTTTTAGGACAGTAGTCATTGTTGAAATGCCCTTATGTGCTCTGATTGCCATTTGCAGTATATATCCTCATTGATGCTATTTCCCTGGCTAGGATGGCTGTTTTTTAACTTGCACTGTATATTTTAGTTTTACAAGTTAAGGTTAAAATAACCAAGACAAAGAACTTTCTTGTCTCTGTTTTGAATGCACCATGGATGTTATATTCATTTTACCCTGTTTCCTCAGCTCGTTTTGGTTTAGTTTTGTCATAGATTCAGTTTATGGAGTCATTATGACATAGGAGGAAGCCATTTGGCCCATTGAATCCATGCTATCTCTCTGTAAAATAATCCAGTCAGTCCCAATCCTCCATTTTATCACTGTAGTCCTGCAGGTTTATTTCCATGAATTACCCATCCAATTTCCCATTGAAATAATATGTGGGGGGGGGGGAATCCTTCTTCATGTCCTGTGTATTTCTTGTCTTTCAATTTATGTCCCACAGTCCTGTACCATTAGCTAGTGATATTTTTTCTTTGTCTACCTTATCTCTTGCATTTTATTTTGTAATTACTGCTTAAAGGCTATGTGCATTAGTGCATTTTATAGCAATACATTTAGGTTTTTTGTTTGAGACCAGGCTCAGAAAGTGATGGTTCATATTCCCATTAGTCAGTCTCCTGTGGCTAGTGGTTCATATGGCAACTAATGTCTAGTATTGCTGCCTGTCTAGATTAAGATGTTTCACTCCAATCAGAGTCTCATCTTGCTCATGCTAGCAGATGGTGGGTCGTCGTTACTCATTATATTTGCCTGTTTGTATCATAGTCGTTGTATCCCAGTTGTTCAACAAAAACTTGTATTTATGTAGCATCCTTATCATATTAAAGCATCCTAAAACACTATGCACGAGTGTTGTGAAACAAAACTTCATATCTGGCTGCAATTGGACAGATGACCCAAAGCATGGTCAAAAAGCAACATTTTAAGGAACATCTTAAAGGAGGTGAGGTGGAGAAGCTTGGGGAGGAATTTCAGAGCTTCATGTCCGGTCAACTGAGAGCACAGCTGCCAGTGGTGGAGCAAATAAAATGGTGAATTTGAAAGAGGCCAGATTTGGAGGAATACAGGTGGTTCAGCGGGTCATAGATTGGTATGAGATTACAGGGGTAGATAAGTGCGAGGTCATGGAGGGGTTCGAAAACAGGAATTATATTTTTAAAATCAAGTTTTTACCAGGCCGTGTCTAATTGCAGGGTAGCACAAAGGTGTCAATGAGGTTTTTGGTTCTGGGGGGAAAAGGTCAGTATAGTCTTCTAGAGATAGTAGGAACTGCAGATGCTGGAG